TATTGAGCTTGTTAGCATGAAGATTGTCCAGTGTGGATGATGGTGCGCCTTCTTACTTTCAGTGATCCATTTGTTTCAACCTCCAAGATTGTTTGGCGCTTCATCTTTGAAGGAATCAAGCTTCGAAAGTTGCATTTTTCTGCTAGCCCATCGATTTTTTCTACCTTTAGCGTTGTCTCCCTCTTTCTAGAAGGCTTCTTATTGTCTTCAAGTCTTTCCAAAGCTAACCATCGCAGATGAGAGCTAGCCATGTTGCTTTGTTTCTTAGGTTTTGACAACTTTTCGAAAACAGAGCTTTGGGATGTTAACGTATTAAGCCTCTTGAAGATGGAGGTTTGGTCTTGACCACCCATGCAATTAAGTGCCAAAATTCTGGGTCTTAACAATTCATCTTATCGAAGACTGACGTCCGAGATATGGGTTTAGGCTCCTCTTGATCTTGTTCAATGGTCACACTGATGTGTTGAGCGCTATTCGCTTTACTTGAAATCTTCACGGGTGCATTTGGTGTGAAGCCAAGTCCAGCTTTGTTGTTGTCAACTTCATAACCATGCTCTTTCAACTTCTTTTAAGTCTCGGTGAGGTCACGATCTTTATTGTTAACAGTGTTTGCAACCTTTTTTCCAGGATTTGAAGAGGAAGCGAAGTTGTACCCACCAATGCTTTACTGAGGAAGAGTGAAGGTGTTTTGCAACCTTTCTTCCTCAATGGCGATAGTTTTACCTTTTGAGGGCTTTTCCATCTCTATTTCAATCGTGTGACAGGCAACGATAGTGCACTATTGGAATAAGTCCTTCGAGAAATACTCGTGCAATAAGACGAGAATGTATGGTTTTTGCTCCATAGGGTCCTCACTGTTTGTTGGCTTAGCAACTCTTACGTTTCCTTTGGGCTTCCTATTGTTGTGGCGGTGGTGATTTCTTCCTTGTTCCATTTTTGGCTATGTGACTTGTAGTTTTAGCTTCCTTGTCTTTTTGTTGGTCACCAATGTCCATCCTTCTTCATCGTCGGTAAGTGCATTTTGGTAAATTGCCCCCAGCGATGGTTGTGTAAAAGGTGTCGTGTGGCTTAAGCATTGACGGGAGTGGTCATGCATCATTTGGGGAAGAACGGGATCAAAGGATCCAAACACGATCGCAGTAGTGTGCGTTGCGACCTTGTCTTCTAGGTCAAGTTTGATTCGCCGTTGTTGTGACAGCTTCATGATGAGCTCTTTGAGGATGAAGCACTTACCAACAGGAAGACTTACGATACGATGGTACTTACAATACCTGGGATCGTTAACGCGATTCATCTATTCGGGGCGTTTCATTCCGGTAACTCGATCACCTTCTTTTCCAACAAGTTGTATAACATTACAGCCATATCTGAGTCAGGAAAAGGGTACATTTTTTGCTCCAGCTCCTTTAAGGTGTTTTTGTACCTGTCTTGGGTGCAAGAAGGCTCATCTTTTTTTATCTTCTTCGCTTTATTCTTAGAAAAGATCTTGACAGACGCAGAGGAGGTTTTAATGGGGGTAGTGTTGATGGTAAAAGCTTCCTTAACGGGCCTTTTCCCATGATTGTCCACCTTCAGAGCAAATGCCTTATCCTTCTTGAAGTCGGAAATTGGCTCATTTTTTCAATGATGGCGCTCAACTCCATGTCGTTGGCGCGGGTGGCTAACTTTTCGAATGTTTATGGTTTGATGCCTTAAAGGATGTAGTGTAACCCTATTGCATGCCTTAGATGCACATCTCAATTGAGGAGATCTCTGAGAACCTGTCTTTGCAGTCGAGGCTTAGAGTGCGCCATCAGTTGATATAGTCCACAACTGGCCCGTCCCTCCATTGCTTCATGCTTGTCAGCTTCAACATGTTCATAGTGTGGCATGTGCTGTAAAAACGGTTGAGGAATTCCGGCTCCAATTGCTCCGAACTGTTGATGGATTCAGGTTATAGGTTCGTGTGCCAGTCGAATGCATTCCCCCTCAGAGAGCGGACAAACTGCTTTCCGAGGTAATCTCATTTTGTCCCCGAGTTGTTGCAAGTTTCAACGAAATAGGCGACGTATTGCTTTGGGCTTTTATTTCCATCAAACTACATGAACTTTGGTGGTTGATAACCCATCGGCATCTTCAAGGGCGTCAATCTTCTTGGAGTAGGGCTTTGAGTACAAAACGGAGGTATGTGAGCTCTCATCGTACTGCACTGTGATGGTGTTGGTGATCATCTCCTGCAGCTGCTGGATAGAAAAAGATCTCATGAGTGCCCCTGCTTGGTCTGGCTTCAGCTTCTCTTCGACTTTCTCCACCTGAGGCTCTTATTCTTCGTTAACTTCTTTCTTTAGTGGACTAACCTTTAGGTTGACTTTCATGTCGTGATGCGCCTCCAATTGGTTAACGAGTGCAACGATTTGCAAGTTTTTATCCTTCACAATCCATATGAGTTTTGCGATCGCTTCATTCATTTGAGCCAGTTCCTCTACAGTTCATGTGGTCATGACTTGCATGGCTAAGCTGCTACTCGAGTTGGCATCGAAAAGTAAGGACATTAAGTACTTCATCGGGCTTTCCTCTCTTGGCGCCCTTAGCAAGGCCAGGGTGATCACGGGCTCATGCCTCAGGTGTTCTTGTTCCTTTGGCAGAGTTAATGTAGAGGTGGAAGCCGCGAAGAGAAAGCTCTTACCTTGCTTCGGGTTGTGATGCCCGAACTGTCACCATTTGCAACGAGGATGTTCTTCTTCTTCCGCTTTGGTTGCAGGAACAGCTTGATCCTTTATTGATGCCATTTATGCTTTTTTTGCGGATTTAAAGATATACATGAGAGGCAAAGATAGTCCCACCGGGCATGACAAATTTGTAAACACGAATTTTCATGCGACAAATGGAACAAGAACACGTGTACAAAATAATATTTTGTGTTAATTTTTGGGTTACAATCTCTTTTACTATTTGATCTTTTGATTCTATCTTCGTAAGGTGTAAATCTGTGGATGGGATGTTGATCCAAATGGTCATTAGGGTTTGATCTACGGATGAACAGTTTTGTGGATTTGTTGATGTTGTTGATCCAAATGGCTGTTGGGGCTTGATCTTAGGATGAACGAGGATGAATAGATCTTCAAGGGCCTTTCAGGGCTTGATCTTGATGAACAGTTGTGTGGATGTGGGCTTGACCTTGATGAACTAGGATGAACGGATCTTCAAAGGCCTTCTAGGCTTATCTTGATGAACAATTGTGTGGATTTCTTCAAGGATTTGACGAAGAACGAAGAAAGCTTTCTTGATCCTTCGGGATTCTTGGGAATTTGGTAGGTTGGATGCTTGAAAGCTTTAGAGTTTCATAGCTTCAAGGATTTGGGGAATTCTCTTCCAATTTGGGAGTAGAGAAATGCATATGTGAATTGGTCCCTTGATCCCTTGATGGAGAAGCCTATTTATAGGCTTTGAGAATGAATCACCACCATTATTTTTTTTGTGAAGTAAGTGAATGATGTAGGTGAAGTAAGTGGATGATATAGGTGAAATGAGTGGAGGTTGTAGGTGAAGTAAGTGGATGATGTAGGTGCAATGAGTGGAGGTTGTAATTTTAATGCATTGGTACATTTATTTCACCGAAATTTCGATGTCCACAGTGTGACCCCACCATCATTGTCTTGAAGACGAAGGTGTTTTTATTTCACCATCATTGTCTTAATTTTAAGGCAAAGTAAGAAAGACAACAGCAAAACCGTAATCTCCATCAGCACAACGGCAGCCACCACCGTTGCCACCATCGCAATAGCCACCACAAAGGAATACATCGCCCTAAACTAAAGAAAGCACCCTAACCAAAAGCTGGATCTACAAAGGTTGTGCTGAATCCATCCTTTAAAAACCAAAACCGCCACAATACCTGCAAGAAAGGACACAAACCGTAACAGGAGGAAGGGGCGAAAGGAGTGTGCAAAACATTCTTGTTCTGATGTGAATCGTTCCACACTTTGCTCAATTTTTCCAACAAGTAGAATCGGCAGTGAGCTGTGTGGGTTGGCTCTAGTGTCAAGACAGGGCCCAACACCTCGAGACCTAATTTCTAATTAAAGGTTGGAAAATATGAGGGGGAGCAAGGGGAAGGAAGGAAAGAGTGGTGCGATGGGGAGGGAAGGTAGGTTTGGCGATGAACTACCATTGAGTGATGAGAAGGTCCAAAACTGAGACAAGAGCTCAGAAAGCTGAAATAAAATTCAGACGAAAACATAGAAGAAGAAGAAAAAGAAGAAGAAGGGAGGAAGAAAAGCAGAAAACAAGAGAATCAGGGGGCTGCCACCGTCCCTAAAGCCAAAGTCTAGGGCCGGAGGCTATGAGATGGTTTTCTTTGGGGTTTTCCTTCTGCAAAGAGTTTATTATTTTTACTTGTTTAAAGATTATCTTCTTTGCTTCATACTCTATCAATATATTCAGTTGTAATTTAGTGTTTGTTAGCATATTCGAATTTATCTCTATGTATATTTATCATTGATTGTTGATGTATATCCAACAATTACTAGGATTGTTAGGTCTTTAGTTGTTTGTATAAGCTTTTGAGGATTTAATTTGTCGTTATTTTTCACACATTTTTCCTTAAAAAAAAAAAAAACAAAAACAAAAACAAAATACAAAACAAAACAAAACAAAAAAGTTACAAAAAAAAAAAAAAATCATTGACAAATTTTGAAACCGAACAAGATGTTAAATGAGACTTTCCCTCCTCACCCGCATGAACTAGAAGGGAAGGAAGGCATGGAACGATAGAATATAAGCCAACAACTACTTGAGTCAGGCGACTCGGTGAGATATTGAAAGGAGAACGAAGTGATAGTCTACTTCTATGTTCTTAGAGCGAGCATGAAAGACGGTCTATGCTACCGAGTGTGTACGCTTAATCTTATCAAATGCATGAGAAATTTATAACGACGCACTGTTAAATAGCGTAGCGAGTAAAAAAGCCATATTTTAGTTAGTTCGGAGGTAGTAGAAGCAAACGTCTGTACTCTGTTTGGAAAAAGCAGAATCTATATGTCGCCGTATTAGCTTCTTGATTGCCTTTCTTCTTGCATGATCTGAGATACAGGAGGGTGTTTCTATTTTTGTCAAAAATAAAAATTAGAGTATTTAAGTTATTTCTCTGTAACTAACATAAATGGGTAATTGTATATGCCAAATAAAAACATAAATGGAAAATTAGATTTTTAAAAAGAAAAGAAAAGAAAGTTAAGAAAAGGAAAGGAGGTTATCCGTAGAGAAATACGCAGTTCTCTCACCGCAGTGGATCATTCATCTGCCATCTGCGCCCGCGCCCGCCACCTCCCAAAACCAGAAGAAGCAAAAAGTTCGTCCCTTTTTGCTTCCTCTCTATTGCAGAAGCCAAGCAAACTGTTGGGTAGCGATCTCTCTGTCAAAACAAGTGAGTTAATCATTTTCTCTTAGCATTTTCACACTCTTTAATTTCCTGATCATTTGTTAATCTGCCCTTAGTGTAAACCTATGATTGTGTTGTTTTGCTGTTTTTGGAATTTCCTTAATCTGTTTTACAGCTGGGAAAAAGTAGAGGACTATAAGATGTGGGTAACTTAGAATTCAGCAACCCCAGTTTTGGGTTGTTCTCAGTTTTCCAGTCTGTTAGTATTTTCTTGTGTTTTCTCGGCAGCCAAACACAACCCAAGTGCTGTTTTCCGGTGGATATTTGAGATATCTGTGTTATTCAGCATATGTGATCAGAATCATTGGTAAAATGAATTTAGTAGGGTTTTGCTTGGTTACATTATGATGTGAGACTTTGTACAATTTATTAGGTAATTGAAAACTAGTTTGGCATAAAAGATCACAATTATTCGTCGCAAAATTACTTTTTTTCGCTTGAATTTTGGAAGTTAGAACCTTAGATGGAGTCTTATCACAATGCTTATTTGGCAGTGGATGATGAAGAACTTTCTATGAGCAAGGATGAGGACGTGTCAGAGAGTTCCAATGGGAAAGATGCAGTCACTTCTGAGGGGAACTTGGATGCAGAACCATTTGTGGGTATGGAGTTTGAAACTGAAGAGGCTACCAAGGTGTTCTATGATGCGTATGCAACACAGGTGGGTTTCATTATGCGAGTTGATGCCTTCCGGAGATCAATGCGAGATGGGAAGGTAGTTTGGCGTAGGCTTGTGTGTAATAAAGAGGGATTTCGCAAGACGCGAGCCAAAGGAACTGAAAACAGGAAGCCTCGAGCAATCACCAGAGAAGGGTGCAAAGCAATGATTGTGGTAAAGAAAGACAAGTCAGGGAAATGGGTCGTAACACGATTTATAAAGGAGCATAACCATCCACTAGTAGGTACACCTTCAAATGGTCGCCGCAGTATGCTTCTGTCTCAAACACCAGTGAGTGCTTCTTATCTGCATTTTTTTAGTTGCTCTTTTATGGCCTATAGGTTTATTTGTAAGACAGACGCATTGTGTTGTGTTGATTTAGTTAGTTTGTTTACTTGTCTTGGTTACGATGGTCAATTATCTAGTTTATGTTCGTTGTAGATTTGAAAGTGCATCAGGTGTTCTTGTATCTGTTGCCTTGAAGTGGTTTGGAGCATTTTCAAGCTGGAAAGTTACTTTTTGCTTATGCATCTTACATGATATTAATAGGAATTCTGGTTTGTGGATGAAGTTAGCAGATGCCCCTTGCTTGAACAGGTTACTCGATGCTGTCATTCTTATGGTTTTCATAGTTCAAAGATTATAGTTCATATATTTCTGAACTTCATGTTAGGCAACCCATGTTCTATCACCTCCAAATTGTTAAAACCAGTTTTGATGTTTTGAATCTAAAACGTAGGACTTGTTTGGTAACCATTTCGTTTTTCGCTGTCCTTTTCATTTTTGGTGATACAGATAGAGAAGCACTTGTGGGAGAAAGGAAAGGAGAAATAAAGAAGGGTAAAGGAAGGAGGGTGGAAGAAATGAAAGGAATGAGTGTAAAAATGACAAACAAAATGAAAACTATGGAAAACAGTTTTAAGTTGATTTCACTTTCACATTTTTGTTTTCATGTAATCTACATTTCTCCCTCCGCCCTCAGAACGCCTCCCTTCATCCATCTCCATACCTTGTTTTGCCCATATACTTTCCTTTCTCGAGCACAAAAAGTAAGAACTACGAACTAAAAACGAAATGTTTATCAAATGGGTCCTTAGCTTTGTAAGTTTACTCAAGAAGTAATAAAGAAGTTTTCATAAATTATTTTGGTACTGTTATTAGAATTTGTACAAGTCGCCTCGTATGGTATATGTAATTGCTTCTGTGGCCGTTTTGTGAGATGTAGGTGTCTGGATTCTGTGCAGTTCAAGTCTTGATGGTTTCTTTTGGTATTGTGCTATAGCTTATCGCGGTTACGGTAAACGTTGTAAATGTAATGTGCTCTAGTTTACAGTGGTTACAGTAACGTTTTATATATTTTAGTTAAAGCCATCTAGCAGATACCTGATGCATGTTTCGGACGGCGTCGGAAGAATTCTTTCCATTTGGTTAGTATTTCCAATAACAATCGATATTTACCATTGATTTGCTTTTTGGTTTGTTCCAGGATGAAAAAGACCTGAAAATTCGGGAGTTGACTGCTGAGCTACAACGTGAGCGAAAAAGGTCTGCCACCTATCAAGAGCAGCTTGATACGGTTTTGAGGGAGATGGAACAGCATTCCAATCACCTGTCGAGAAACATCGACGTTATAGTCCAAAGCGTGAAAGAAATCGAATCAAAGAGGGTAGCACTTTCAAATGGTTAAGAGCCTGCTCGATTAGTTCAGCTCCTTTCAGACGCTATTCCATGCAATCAAGACTGGAAATATGCACATGTGGTTAGACTAGTTGGTCAAGACAGTGTGCTTGATCTCTGAGTTCGAATCCCCCTCCCCATAGGCTAGAGTAGTTTAGATTATTGACTTGTTAAACAGTAAAACTGTAAATCTTAGTTTTAGGTTGATTAGAAACGGAAAACGGAATTACCCAGTAATTTGCTTTCTTTTTGTGACAAGCGATAGCAATAGTGGGTCGATTGTTGTTAGGGGAGAGAGGGAGTTAGTGGGGATCGAACGATCACCAAGGTTCATAGGCATGATTGTTTTCCATCACAGCGGTAAAGCGCCACGTACCAATAATTTTCCTTCTTTGTTTTGTATTTTTTTTTTCTTGGTTTATTTACCCTAGTTTGTACAGATACTATAACTGCAAGTAGCAAGACCTTTTAACTCCGTAGACCTTTTTGTAACCCGGTTTTCTTCCTTCGGTCTCTTTTTCTAGTCGCTCGACCGAAAAATTAAGGAACGTAAACAAAGAGAGGAGCGCAGAAACAGAACATTTGGCTACGAGAATTCATGTTCGAGATAGGTCAGGGCACGCCAAACTTGACCCATCAAGTTGCAGTACCTAAGCTTGAAAAATCCCATCGGGTTACCATCTTTTGCTCTGCTCCTCACTTCTTGTTGGATTTACGTGTAAACAACTTATTTCTTTGCTTATAGGTTTTGTGCCTTCTAAGCGTAACGGCTTCTTCCATGTTATATGCTCTTTCTTTGTCCCAAGATATTTCAGATCATAATTTTATGGCCAATAAATAATATTATAAATCAAGAGGGTCCTAAAAATAAAAAATAAATTGGGATTTAAGTGCCGGTTTCTATGAGTTTGTGGAAGCTCGAGTTCCATGTCAAGCACGAGTTAGAGAGAACGAATTCCACAGAATGAGAGACTTTACACGAGCTTATGAGTTAGTCTACTTTTTTGTATTGTAAATTAATTTTATAGTCGAACCTTAACTTCTTTCATCAAATTCCGGTGGAAATGTTCAAAAAATGAGTTCTCAAATGCAAGACCAAGGCTTACTTCAGTAGTCAGTCGGGATTTGAAATGCCCAACTGATGAACATGTCAATCCTTTTGACTGTTCCGTTGAGTTGACGCAAAATGTCATACAGAGAGGGTGCGCATGATGTCGAGGGGGGCAGCATAGGACTTTATGGGTGCTGTCATGTGCCTATGAGGGGGCAGGAATCCCCAATAACAATACGGAGAAGAGATCTACAGGCTACCGGATCAAGTGATCTGGAGCTTTCAAATTTCATCCAACGGCCTATCTGTTTTGATCCCTTAAAAGCTATAATAATTTTTAACCGTTAGATGAAATTTGAAAGGCCCGGATCACTTGATCCGGTGACCTTGGTGGAAGAGAGATCTCTTCTCAACAATATCAACCAACGCTGCACAGTACACCGGCCAAAATTTCTCGCAGTTGACACGGTTGAGGCTCTTATGATAGACACATAAGAGCTCTGTGGTGCCACCTTGGCCCCCGTCGGAACATAATCAGAGGAGCGAGCACGTCCGGGAAGGGCGGCACCATACAACAGATAAGCAAGCTAAACATACCGCCATGTCCCGACAGTGAGAAACCTCGTTCAAACAAAACAGACCAGCAACTGACACTAAAAACCGTACTCTACATAATCTGATGGTGTCATACAAATTTAATCCATATTTTGCATCAGCAGCTAATTCGAGCGAAATGACAGCTTCGTAATGGGATGCTAATGTGACAGTATCTCAAGGTAATCACGCCGGTCGTGAATGGCTTGCGAGATAGCCACAGGTCATCGCCAATGTAGGTAAGTTCCTCTCCAAACATATGTAACCCATAAACCCTAAATCCCAGTTTCCGACCAACATCAACCATCTAATTACTTAGGTGAAGCAAATTCCATTCCAAGTTACCATCTTTTCAAGATTCACTCTCAACCAAAACAGGGTCACCTAAAATCTCAAACAAAGGAGAAGAACTTCCCTGCAACGAGAGAGCTTGCGCATGATCGCCTTGAAATACCGTCACATTGACATCCAAAACTCAGATACAAAAATATGCAATCTTGATGGTATCGAAAAAGAAACTTACATAAATATAAAATCGGATTCAGCAGCTAGTGAAGAAAAGCATAAACAGCAGTGGAAATATAGACCAGAAGCGCCGTCGTGACCAATACAACAAGCACCGCCACGGAATGGACGGCGGATTTGCTGCCACACGACAGCGTCCCCAGCCTGATCTGAATCACATTCACCATCGACAGCACCAAAAACACACAACCCATGACCGATCCGAAAGCGGACCCCAACATCCCGAATCTCAACGCCTTCAGATTGATGTGGGCCCGGAACGCCTCGTCGACGTCCTTGCTGTTGAGCAGGTTGATCGCCAGCTTCAGTCCCTGCGCCACCAGCGACGAGAACAGGAAGAAGCTGAAGGAGACAACCTCGAACACCAGCAGCTTCTTCGCCACGTCGATCCCGGCGTCGCAGGATGTCCGGTTCTCGAGGCTCCTCTGTCCCGGAGTTGTCAGGGAGAGCCCCACGAAGACGGCGATGGTGAAGAGTGAGTTGACGTTGACCAGGCCGTCCAGCGCCGTGACGTGCACGCTCGTCGTAGACGATGACGACATCACTCTCCGGCCGTCTTGGGTGTAGCACTCTTTTGGGTAGCCGTCAGATCTGGAAATCAAGACAAAAAGCACAAAAAGATGATTAATTTTTCGTTTCAGAGGTCAATTTCTGAAGCTGAAATCTGAGAGAGGGAGAGAGATCGTACTCATCCATGGCGTCGAGATTGTAATTTTGCTTGTGGGGGTTATGTATTTATTTTTATTTTCTTGCTGAATGTAGTTGCTTGTAGTGTTTTCTGTTTGTTTCTTGGGAAAGATGGGAGGAAAGAAGGGAGACGAAATATGCTTTACCTTTTTATTTTTGGATTTTTGTCTTTAGTAAATTGTAACAATATTTTTTTAATATTAATTTAATTGAAACAATGATCATTCAACTATAAATTCATTACTATTGATTTTTGGGATTTTTTGAAATAGGTCCAAAGTAACTAAAAATTGGACCTATTTCAAAAGTCAAAAGTCACTAAAAATTGGACCTATTTCAAAAGATAGTCTATAAAATTGGATCTATTTCAAATTTTCCCTTGATTTTTTAACTCATCAAAACATGTAGTTATGGTCCCTCAATTAAAAATTCATTACCAATAGTCCCTTAACTTTAATTCAATTGGAAAAATTGTTCTTCGACTTTAACCCAATTCGAAAAATAGTCTTTCAACTTTAACCCAATTGTAGTAATGATCCTTCCAACATAACTCATTTTAACAAAATTCTGACGAAGTTGACGAAAATGACCATAACTACACATTTTGATAAGTTAAGAGATCAATAATAATAGATTTTTAGTTGAGAAACAATTGTTACAATTTACTCTTTGCTTTGTTATGAGACTTTGAATTGGATTTTAAGTTGTAAGATTTTTGTAAAAAAAAAATAATACTATTTACATGTTTATTTTTAATTTTTATAATTTTTTTTTATAATTTTAATTGTTGAACTTGATAAGATTGAAAAAGATGACAGATATTAATGAACATATGAAATAATAAAATAATAGCAACCAATAAAAAAGGTTTGAGACATTGAACAAAGTGGGTGAGGGATTAAAGAAATTGAAAAGTGTGGGGTTTGTTGAATTACTTTCGAAAAGGATCAGTGTCCCCAACCTATAAAGTAGGATGGAGACGTTCAAGAAATAATTTTGTCTTGGTCACGTGATTCAAAACAAACCAAACTCCCTTTCAACTTGCTTCAATCTTTGGAGCAAAAATTAGTTTTGGGGTAAAATTGACTTTTGGGACAAATTTAACTCAAGAAAACGATCAAGGTAAAGCTATTGGCCTACCTATGAACGTACACACGTCAAAAACAAAAAATGGAACTCGGCGGCCCACTTACGTGCCCCATTCGAGCCCGGCCTGCAGCGCCTGGCAACGGTGGGCCCCACTATCATGGTGGTTGTTGGCCACCAGCTGGAGCCCAACAACTTTTTCATGATCCAACGATCGAGATTAATGGAGCGTTGGAGATGGTTTATCCAACGGTCCAGATTCATTTTTTTTCTAATTTATTAATTCATGAAAACTGAGCTCTAATATGATCAAATCTAACACTAAGAAAAAAAAAGATATAACGTCTCAAAATTAAATCAAACAGCTAAAACAATTAAAAAAGTTATCTAAATCAAAATTCATCCAAAAACTCTATAAATGCCTATGTATTTAGGGGTGTGCTATCCACACACCTCATTTTATTTCTCACACACCCCTTGATAATTTATGTATGTTGATCTTGTTCAATTCATCCAATCCAACAACCAAAAATTAAAAATGTGTGTGAGAAGTAAAATGGGATGTGTGGATATCACACCCCATGTATTTATTCAAACAT